CAGTTGTCTTAAGACTTCAGTCGCATTTTCAAGGGTCGACGGTCTAGCGACGGCATCCATCTTTTGTCCAGAGGTAATATCATATAATGAATCTAGCACCATAGCCATAGCCACATCAGGGTTTAATAGCGCTTTAAAGCGATTTCCCCTATCTCAATGACTTCTTTAGGATAGGAGATGACGCTACCATCATCTTCCATAACATGTGTTATTCGAAACTTCTTTTGTCGAAAAAGAAAGGGACTTTTCTGACAAGGTGTTCATGTCGTTTTCTTGAGCCTCATCTTCTATTGTTTCAGCCTGCCTCTTCCAAAAATGTCGTTTGTCTTGCCTTAATAATTATGTAGGTTTTATTTTAGTTTCTTTCCGTACTTCTTTACTGAAATTTTGTCTGTTATCAACCGTGTGGCAAGCCTGCTGCTTTCTTGCAGCAGTTTAGTTTTTGAACATATCCACGGTTTCCATCGTTCTTCCCAAGTTTTCTTCTGCCGTTGTTACTATTGGTTCCTTATACACGTTTCAAGCTTTGTCCACCAGTATGTCGCCTGCATAGGAATTAAGTGGCTTGAATCTTCCATCAATGGTCAGCTGATATACTTGGGATGCTTCTGAACAGTGAAGAATACCGACTTCGAAATTTGCTGTAGATTTTGATTGCGAATCAAGGACCGCAGCTTGACTTCAACTTTAGTCATCAACAGCTCATGACCGCTGTCGTATTTTACACTTCTGTACACTTTGACACGTTCTAGGCATGCTCACGACTCCTGCTGATGAGAACATGGTCCACGTGGTTCCTTTTTGATGCATTAAGGGATTGTCGCATGATTTATGCACTAATTCATGTAGAAACCATGTACTGTCAGCAAGTACATAGCGTATCTCACACGGTTCTGCTAGTCATTCACCGTAATCATTCTTCTCTTCAATACCGATTCTGGGGATCCGTACATCTCACTGAAGTCATCAAGAATAATGAATAATAATAAGGAATAGTGATAATAATAACAAATCTTGGATTTGAACCTTGCCATGAGGATTCGGTTAGATACCTCATTTCAGTGTGCATGTGCTCCTTTTGCATTTGCACTGATTACCAGTGCTACACCACCTTACCTTCTGTCGAATGCCCTGTGCAGTAGAGGGCATAAGCTTCGGCATAACTTGTTTCAAGCCAGTGCATTTCTTGCATCGCAGTTAGCTATATTCATATCTGATTCGATTCTTCTGCAACCGATCTAGTCTGCTCAAGTCTGCATAACATTCACACACTCCATGTGGTAAACCGTGGCCCAAATTTTCTACTGAAAATTACCGTAATCAGAGATAAATCCGCAAAGTTGATGAGTGGCCTGAAACAGCTTTACAAGGCCCTTGTTAGCCGCCCGTTCAAAGTTCATGACAGGCCTTCGAGACAACCGTAGTAACTGGGAGAATGCTCTCCACTGTACTTTGCCCTGCGAAGCATTCTCCTACGTTTGACGTCGCCTCCATATGTTTTGGTCTTTAGCTAAATCTTTGGTTATTCCTCACAGTTTCATATCATTCATTACAACATGATGCAACCTCACCATTGGTCTTTACCTTCTTTTCTCCTCTGGCGGTGTCACTGTTTGGATCATGTTTCCGACAACCATGCTGGGTCTTCATTTCACGGGGTCGAACCAACGGAACCTGCCTTCGACAAGGTTTTTTGAAACCGGTGTTGCGTATAAAGTGCCTCTTATGAAGCTGTTCCAGATACTGTCTCTTTTATTGACATCACACATCTGCCTGAACATTCACAGTTTTCCGAGTTAAGCAGCTGCTCCTGCCTCGTTTGAGGTAGCCAAACTTTCTCCTTCATGCAGAAGCGCCAGTCTTACTGTCGTTCTGTACACTTTTCCCTTTAGTCTCATTGGTATTTCTTCATCGCACAGTACACCGCTCACCTCTCTCTATTTTACCACGCTTTTTTTTCGACTAGTTTTTTAATTCACTTTTTAAT